TCAAATTCCCAAGAGTCACTGGGGTCACATTCTCTTCACCACTAGGGTCTACTCTGCCTCCTTTCTGCTCCTATAGTTTATCATCACACCCTACCATTTCCTCAGCATGGTTGGCAGGCATGATTATGAGTCTGGAGTCACAAGCATTTGGAAATACTAGTTAACTTGGATGTCCATGTATCTTTTTCCTCAATTTTAAAGCAAAGTACAATAGTTTGGATCTTAAGTGTCTTCCAAAATCCCGTGTGTTAGAGGCTTGGTCCCCAGGATGGCAATACTGGAAAGTGGTCATAGTTTTCCATTACTATGACAAAGTACCAAAGGAAAGCAATTTAAGGAAACATTTATTTTGGGTTATGGGTTTTTGTTTTGAGACAGGGTTTCTTTATGTTGCCCTGGCTGTCCTGGAACTCACTCTGTAGACCAGACTGGCCTGAAACTCAGAAATCTGTCTGCCTTTGCCTCCCGAGTGCTGGGATTAAAGGCATGTGCCACCACTGCCCAGCTTTGGCTTATGTTTTGAGGATATAATCCACCATTAAGGAGAAAAAGTGATTGCAGTAATGGCTCAACTTGTGGCAACTGGGCGCATTCCATGCGCAGTAAGGAATGATTGCTGTGCTGGCTCTCACTCTCCTTCAGTTTTTATTCTGCATCTCCCCCACCCCATGGGAATATGCATCCATATTCAGGGTGCTCTAATTTCCTTAGTTCAACTTCTCTGGAAACATCCTCACAGATACACCCAAAGGCATGGCTCTTGGGTCATTCTTAGTCCTATCAAGTTGATCATAAACATCAATCAGCCAGCATTGAAGAAGAGGAGGGACACTCTTGAAGGAGACCGTGGAGCTCTGGGTTCTTTCTCTCTTCTCTTTCATTTCCTGGCCATGAGGTGAGTTCAGTTTTGCTCTGTTATGCACTTCCAACATAGCATCCAGCCTTGCCATAGGGTTAGGCCCAAAGCAATGGGCTACAGCCTCCAAACCATGAACCAAAATAAGCTGCTTCATAACTGTAATTTTGCTACTATTATGAATTGTAATGCAAATATTTTTAGAAGAAGAGGTTTGTCAAAGGAGTCAAGACCCACAGGATGAGAGCCACTGATCCAAAGTCTCTTGTTACTGTGATGAAAGCTAACACATAAGGTTAAAAATACATACTAGAGCTGGGCAGTGGTGGTGCACACCTTTAATCCCAGCACTTGGGAAGCTAGCACAAGATGGTATGAAAGTTCTTACCATATGTGAATCTATTTCCTATCTTATTTCCATGACTAACATTAACATTATTGTGATGTCCTTCACAATCTTTTATGCAAATGATTGCCTTAATTGTTACTAATTATAATTACTATTGCATGTGTGCACCTATGTGGGTATGTGGGGTCATGTGTGCCACAGTGCATATGTGGTAGTGTAATCAGAGGACAAGGTTGTTTTTTGTTTCTGTTTCTTGTTGTTTTTTTTTAAGATTTATTATTATTATAGTCTTCTGTCTGCATGTATGCCTACCCACCAGAAGAGAGCACCAGATCTCATTATAGGTGATTTTTGAGCCACCATGTGGTGGCTGGGAAGTGAACTCAGGAAGAACAGCCAATGCTCTTGACCTCGGAGCAGTCTCTCCACCTCCCAGAGGACAAGTTTGTGGAGTTTGTTCTCACCTTCCATGTCTGCATGGATTTCATGCATTGAACGGAAACCACCAGGCTTCCATGGCAAGGCTTTTATTCACTAAGCCATCCCACCTGCCCTGGTTGCACTAATTCTTAAATTCTGTTTGTTCAAAGTTGAATGAAAACATTTCAATAGACCATTCCCTTGGTCTATTTACATTTATCTTTAATTTTGATTTATGTATATGATATGCGTGTGTCAGTGCTCAAGGTCACAAGAGAATGTTTGCTCCACTGGAGCTAGAGCCCTGAAATGGGTGCTGGGAACAGAATTTTGGTAGCAGCTCTTAAGCAATGTGCGATTTCTCCAGTCTGCCTTTAGGGTTTTCATATCAGGTTTGAAGCACACTGCACACACCAGAAATTAATGTTTATTGAAATAATGATCACCACAACAAAGATCTTATCTAAAAGTTTACTACAGGAAATGAGCTTTTCAACTTTCAACATAATGAACTCTTTGTTGTTGTTGTTGTTGTTGTTTTGGGTTTGTTGTTGTTGTTGTTGTTGTTGTTTTTCAAGACAGGGTTTCTCTGTGGCTTTGGAGGCTGTACTGGAACTCACTCTTGTAGACAAGGCTGGTCTCGAACTCACAGAGATCCATCCACCTACCTCTGTCTCCCAAATGCTGGGACTAAAAAGCTGTGTGCCACCACCGCCCTGCCAGCATAATGAACTCTTCAAGGACACTTAATTTAAATACTTAACCATCATCCAGTTATTATTAAATCACTTCAAATACTTGATAGCAAATTGCTTGACTATTTTAAGTGTGAGGACGACTTCCCTCAGTTCACCTTTCTGGATTTCCTTCTGTTTTTGCTTTTTCTTTTTTGTTTTTTTTTTTTTTAATTTAATGAATTTGTTTATTTATTTTTGAGACAGGGCTTCTCTATGGGACTTACACCTTAGACCAAGCTAGTCTTGAACTCACAGAAATCCCTGTCTCTGCCTCCTGAATACTGGGACTAAAGGTATGCATAACTGCTACCTGGCTGAATTTTAATTTTATTATTATTGTGTGCTGTTGTCAATGGTGAAAAATTGGAAATTGATTAAATTGGTACATCCAACTGAACAGTGAATATCATGCTGGCTATAAAAATGTCAGCTCTATATAGTGATATGGAAAAATATTTGTCATATTTATGAAAAGGATAAGTTAGCTGCACCATAGTATATATGCACCATACATGAAATTTGTACATATATTTGTATAAGCATTGATATTTCAAAAAAAATTGCTAATAGTGGTTACTACTTGAGAGTAATACTGGGGAGAGGATTGCCAGATATGTAAGGACATTTACTTGTCTAAAACCTACGTACATGGATGGAAGGTGTTTTAAAAGCAATGTGAGGGTCAGGCAGTGGTGGTGCTTGACTTTAATCCCAGCACTCTGGAGGCAGAGGCAAGCGGCTCTCTCTGAGTTCCAGGCCAGCCTGATCTACAGAGCTAGTTCTAGGGCAGGCTCTAAAGCTACAGAGAAACCCTGTCTCAAAAACAAACAAACAAAAAACAAACCAATGTGAGGAAATATAAGTTTATATTGTACATTAGCCAACATTATGGAAAAACAAAAAACATAAAGCTAGTAATTATTATTGTCACCTAGGAGAAATTTCGACTTTACTATTGTCTTTTGCTGGAGTTCAATCAATTATTCAAGTTTTCTGAGGCTACCACACATATTCATTCACTCATATACAATTCCTGACACCTACTTCACCATAGGCTCTGCTCTAAACCAAATAAAGAGCGATGCACAAAACCAGAGGTGCTCCTCACACACGGTATCGGAGACTGATGACAAACATTAATGGAAAATGCTACCAAAAAGTCACGAGTTTCCAAACGCTGAAAAATTCAAATGTAGTGTATGCATCCATAGTCATACATGATAACTACTGAAGCATTATCTTTGAATATTAACTTTGACATTAGAATTATTCTAAAGATTTATTATGTATACAGTGTTCTGCCTGCATCTGTAGGCATGCACACCAGAAGGGGACACCAGATCTCATCATGGATGGTTGTGAGCCATTATATAGTTGCTTGGAATTGAACTCAAGACCTATGGAAGAACAGAACAGCCAGTGTTCTTAACCTCTGAGCCATCTCTCCAGCTCCAAATTCTTTTTTTAAATTTTTTAAAAATTATTATTTTTATTTAGTAGGAAGAAAGCTTTAAAATAGCGAAGGGCAGCTGTGTGACCTTAGGCCAACTGGTGGCTTTTGACCTGCTTCCTCCTCTCTGTGAAATGGAGTGTTTAACTTGCCAGGATTGTCACGAATAACTGTCACTAGTGCCATTGTAACGGGGATGGAGGGTGGGGTGGGGACTGGACCAGGCTGGGTGCCTGAGCAGGCGTTGGGTGGCGTGAACGCGATAGCGTGGCCTTCTTTCTGCTGGCATGCGGTACCCGCAGGGTGCACGAAGCATAAGTGCAGGACTTTCCGGTTTTTACCGGCTTAGTTCTATCTGCCAAGCTCTATTGAGCTGCGCCGCTGGGGACGGAGCGGGGACCGAGCGCAGCGCCGGCCACCGAGCCAGCCAGGCTTCATCACCGGCCGCGTGTAAAGGCCGCTCCCAGCCACGGAGCGTCCTAGCCCACTTGGCTCGAAGCAGACGGTGACCTCGCCTGCAACAGCGGCTGTTAGTTTGAATTCCGGCGCCACTCCCACGCCACGTAGAGCCGAGCCGCCCGACATACTCGGAAAAGACGGGTGGCAGCGTACCGACGGGGACGCGCTCAGAGATGGACGAGCACGCGGCGAGCTGGGGGGGCGCGCGCACCACGCCCCATGATGGCCCGGAAGAAAAGAGGCACGGCGCGCGCTCCCACGCGCGGCCGCAGGGAAAGACCACGCCCCCACACGGCTTCGCATCCAATCGGGGTGAGAGGGAGGGGCAGCCTCGGTCTCGCTCCACGGAGGCTATAAAGGGAGCTGCAGGCGGCCGGGCTCGTTCTTTTACGTCGGGAAGCTGATCCTCTGTCTCTGTAAGTCGGTGGGATGATTTGGGGGGGGAAAGGGGGAGGGAGGGCAATGACCAAGCGAAATACGGTTAGCTCAGAGTAAAACGGGAGGCTTCTGTTTTGTGGAACAGCCTCGGAGGTTTGAAGTTAGTGCAGTTGAAGATTTATTTGGGGAAGTGCGCATCTACAATGGGAGACGGCGGGATTGGCGCGTAGGCCCTAGGAGATGGAGCTTAGCGGCCTGGCTCATGGCCTCGGGGGTCTAGTTCCTTAACCCCAGCGTGTTGAGTTCTGATGCTAAGGACTAGCGGAGGAAGGTTATATGAGTTTCATGCTGTTCATTAAGATGCTGGTGTCGCCCAAGAGACGACTGAATGCACATTACTCCTTTCACAGGAACAATGACGCCGTCATTTCCTGGGTCTTTGAAGCGGTTGCAAACAGATGCCCAGGTGAGGGTGATGCAACTTCGTTTATTAATTGAAGGAGTAGAAAGTGCTGTGATGCTTAAAATGTTGCTTCTTTTCATTAGATGGAGGAGAGAGGACTAAACCATCCGAGGGAATTAATAGCAGATATTAACTTGCTTAAGACCTGACTGTTTTAAAAGGTGTGTATAAGGCTACATGAGTATACAACGCATCTGGTCTACGCTGTAAAATGTAACTTGTATAGTTATGCTGACCAGCTGCTTCACTTGTAGATGTATATTAATGCATTGTTTACCTTAGGCTTTATTTGGAGTGGCTATAAGTGTTAATTAAAATACTGTAAGTCATAATTTACCTAAGCAATCGTGAATGACTTTCTCATGGAGAAAGATTTGTAAAAAGTGGAATTCTCAGTTACGTAGGGTGCTTTAAGTAGATGATGTCATGGTACTTTTATTTTTTCTACCAGCAGTGAATGCCAGTGCGTGGAGATGCCAGCTCTGTAACAGTTACTAGAGCTCCTGGGGATGCATGTGAGTGAAGTTTTTTTTTTTTTTTTTTTTTTTTAACTTAACTATCCATGGTCTGATCTATGATGATCCTATCCCGAACCTGAATTCCTGTTGAAAAAACAAAATTACGGATCTGGCTTCTGAGATGGACCATTATAAAAGCATTGTTTTTTGTTTTAGTATCGGTAGTGTTGTAATCCCTGTGCTTCCTTTTCTAGGGCCAGTGATGCAAGGCTTTGCTGGCGTATGAAAATTGGATGTAGGGAACACACATCCAGAAAAGGCATACAGAAGAAGAAAATGCAGTATTAACTAGGGTGTTTTGAGATGGTCTTTTCAAGCCCTGGCTGGCTTAAAACCCATCCATATGGGCTCTCAAGTGCTGGAGATTGAAATTGCATGCCAGTTTTGATACTAGTTCTTATGAGGAATAGATCTTCAGTCTTGTTAGCTTAAAATGGTGGGATTGAGGGTGGGTTTGGAGTTCAGGTGGTGTCTTATGTTAATGGATTGTTAGTGCGTGTGGTAGAATGCTTTGATAACAAGTACTGCCAGCTCTGTCCATTTTCAAATCTGGTCTAATTGGTAATTGCCATCCTGAAACTCACGGTTGACATTTTTGTCACTGTAAAATTCTATCATGAACCACATTTCGTTCGTTGTCCAATAGTTCACTGAATACTGAAATAAACGTTCGATTGCAACAACCGTTTTCAGTTTTTTTTTTTTTTTTTTTTGATAGTGGTGAGTCAGCAGAACCCTTTTTATACTAACATGGTAATTAAGTCTTCGATGACAAATAGCCCTATTATGGCACGTTATCAGGTTTCCCTGTGAAATGAGCATGTTCTAAAGTGTTAAATTGTCCACTTAATGTCTTGGAAGTGGGTTCTCTATTCTTGCAGACTTGTTAGGCTGGGCTTGATCAGATCCACCTGCTTCTAATGATGATGGTCTAGGTGTGTCCTGCCATGGCCAGTTTGGCCTCAGTCTATCGGTGGCACTTAAATTACCCTTTTGTAGTAAGTGCCAAGGCTTTGAGCACAGGAGTTTGGGATTTTGCTTCAAGCATAGGCTAGGCAGGCTCACTTGAGGTTCTCCCAGCCTTGCAAGTGCTGGGATTGAGGGCGGGCAGCACAAGCACCTGGTGTTCACATTTGAGACATGGTTTATACCGCTGTGCCTCTGCCAGCTCACTCTAAAGTCCTAAATAAAGTTGCCTTTACAAAGTAGACACTGGTTGGCTGTTGATTTTTTTTTTTATGTCTTCTCGGCCCAATGTCCTAAAAGTTAATATTCAAGGTATTCCTAAGCCTGTTATCTTAGTTTTTATGTTCCCATCAGCCCTCTGGTAGGTTTCCGATTTTCCTGGTACTATTGGACTTTCTACAAGGTGAATACTACCTTTATTTGAAAAGGCTGTGAATACACAGGTCTTGGGTCCTCTACCATTGGCCTAATGCCTTAGTCCCATGATGTTTGGGTGGAATTCTTCCCAACCTATGATCTTTCGTTTTGGTCTTTTGAGATTTTTTTTTTCTAATCTTAATACTAGTTGGCTTATTTTCCTGTTTATTTAGGATGCTAAGTTTTTCACTAAATGCTCTGACTTTTAAATATTTTAGATTTTAAGAAGCTTGTTTTACATTCCAATTCCCACTCCCCTCCTGTTCTCCCCACCTCCCTAACCTCTCATGACTTCCCATGGGCAGTCATGAGATAATATTACATAGTGACAGGTCCTAGCTGTTGAACCAAGCTACCCACTTAACTCGGGGGCCTACCTGTCTTGGTCTAATTAGCATGGATGTTACAGTGCTGGGAATTGAGCTCAGTGATTTGCTTATGAGCTTTGTTCTCAAAAGATAACCTTGATAGTTACGAATAGCTGAACCAGGGGGGGCAATATTTGATTTTTTTGGTTCCCTAGTTCTTGACCTCCTGCTTGAATCTTTGTCTTGATAAGCTTTATAAATTGTCATTACCTTTTGAGGTCTTGAAATCAGTGTTTAATTGATTGACCTCAGGTCCACAACAGGATGAAATATTAACAGTACCATATAGTAAATTATTTATAAAAGTGCCATATGTCTTTAATCTCAGCAGAGGCAAGTGGATCTCTTTAGAGTTCCAAAACCAGCCTGTCCTGAAGCTCCAGAGAAACCCTGTCAGGGAGGGGTGGGTGTTTAAGAAACTTAGGCACATTGCCCTTTCATCCAAGTTGGCAACTAGTTAAATGCAAAGCATGGTTGTGAAATGTTTTAAAGCCTCTCACCTCTATGCAGTTCCTTCTGTTTATTTCTTTGCCTTCTAATTGGTCTTCTAGTATAGTCTTGTACATGAGGAGCCCAAAGACAACAAGAAAAATCAAGAGCACAGTTTTTAATCTAACAGAGGTAGGTGGCTCTCTGTAAATTCAAGGCCAGCCAAGGCTACACAGGAAAACCCTGTCTTTTAAAAAAAAGGAAAAAAAAAAAAAAAAAGCAAACTTACTAGAAATAAACTTTTGGTCAGTTTGGAGGAAGGCCTCACTAGACCAGGCTAGTTTAGAATTCATTTAGACCAAGCTAACTACACTTGTGGCAATCCTGCCTCAAATGTAGGGATTATAGACAGGAGCTACCATGCACATCATGAGGTTTTCTGTCAAAGGATTGAGTCAAAACTAGTTAAAGTACAGGGACAATATAGGTAGACCTAAGGAACCCTGCATGCATAGTATGGTTTAGAACCTTTGAACAGTAGGGTTGAAATTATAAAAAGCTTTTTCTGTAAAATTTTCAGTAAGACATTGGCGGGAAGGGGGTTGGGTGGTAAGTGCACATGAATGTAAGTGCCTTTTTAGAGTGTCAGATCTAAATCTGGGATTAGAGACAACTCTGAAAGAGAAGCACTTTTAATCACCCTGTCATAGTTGGCTGAAGGATTTATACCTGAATGGGAAACAAATCCAAAAGCATTTTAGTGGAGCTAAATTTGAAAGTTATACAAATTTTAATTCAAACCTTTTAATATGCACTGGATGGCATCCTACATTCCCTCACCACCTCCCAACACACACACACAGGGTTTCTGTATCGCTTTGGAGCCTGTCCTGGAACTAGCTCTTGTAGACCAGGGTGGTCTACTGCCTGGCTGCATTATTATTTTAATAAGCAAGGAAAACTAGTCTTAATTTACAGATGCTGACTGGGTAATTCTTTTTGTTAATAAAAGGCTAATACACCTTTAATCCAAGCACTTGGGAGGCAGAGGAAGGCATATCTCTGAGTTCAAGGCTAGCGTGGTCTACAGAGCTCGTGGTAATTCTAGGACTTTACAGAGAGAAAAAGGCTAATATTATCATCAGTAACCGAGAGTGTTAACTTGTTAAGGAACTACCTGAGAACTCACTGAAGTCTAAAGAAAACTTAAAAACCTTTCATGTGGCCTCACTACAATAATATGAAATGTATTTGCTTGTTTCAGACTGGTTTTACTGGTTGAGAGCAGAATTTACATATCTGACTTCAGTAACTTTAGCCACCTGGAATCAGTTGCCCATGCCTTGTATCAGGCTTCCAGATAATCTCAAATTATAGTAAGTAAAAATCTACCATTTGGTGCTTTCTAAAATTAGTTCTGCTCAGAAACCTAATCTGCACAGCACTTGGTTTCACAGTCAAGTGTCCTGTGAACTAAGACTTTAAAAGCTTGCTTCTTGCGATGTATATTGGAGCTTCTGTTTTCATGGCTTTTTTCTTATATTGCCCTGTGGAAATTAGAGAGCCCTTACCTGCTTTTTTGTTTGTTTGTTTGTTTTAAGACTCACTGTGTAGCCTAAATTGGCCTCAAACCTAACTTAAATTTCTAAGTATTGGGATTTTATAAGCATGAGCCACCATTCTGGTCTTAAGAGGGAATCTTAACTGAGAAAATACAACTTTATTGATTAATGGTTGACATAGAGGGCCCAGCATCCTAGCCCTCTGGAAACAGGCAGTCAGATCTCTCAGTTCCAGGCCAGCCTGGTCTACAGAGTGAGTTCCAGGACAGCAAAGGCTGCTTAGTGAGAACCTGTTCCAAAATTTTATTTTTTAATTTTTTTAAAAAGAAGACAAAAGAAAAATCAACATTGTTAAAATGTTCATGCCCACCAGGCGGTGGTGGCAAATGCCTTTGATCTCAGCACTCTGGAGTCAGAGGCAGGCAGATCTCTTAGTTCAAGGACAGTCAGCTACACACAGAAATCCTGCCTTGAAAGACAAAAAATGTTAGAAATTCTTGCCAAAATACCAATGACATTCTTTACAGAACTAGAAAAAAATACTAAAAATTTGTGAGGAACCATAGAGAACCTGCGTAATAAGACACCATTAGCAAAAAGAACAAGGCTGGATGCATAAAACACCTGGCTTGGAGCTGGGCGTTGGTGGCGCACGCCTTTAGTCCCAGCACCTTTAGATCCTAGGCAGGTGGGTCTCTGAATTCCAGGCCAGCCTGGTCTACAGAGCTGGTTCTAGGACAGATTCCAAAACAATACAGAGAAACCCTGTCTCAAAAAACCAAATAAATAAAATACCTGGCTTGGAAGCATGCATCAAAGCTATCCAACCAAATGGCATGGATCTGGCATGAAACAGACACGCTAACCAACAGGACAGAATAGAAAGCCCCGCAGTAACTTCGTATTTATAGCCAATTGATTTTCAACAAAGGCACCAGGAATGTTCACTGAAGAGAGTAAGCACCTTTACTGAACCCCCATGCATACAGTACCTATTACTATACTCCCACTTTCCATTAAGTAAATTCTTTGGGTTCCCCATGTGAATGACACAGGGACTTGACATTTAACTCTGGTGGAACATGTGCCTACCATGTAAGAAGTGCTGGGGGGTGGGTGGGAAATGATCCCAGTCTCAGGTTGAATAATAAAAACTCTATGAATCAAAGGCTTAAGTGTCAGACTTGCACATATGAAGCTACTCATTGAACTAAAGTGAAGAGAATACAGCTGGGCACAGTGATGGTGTACTGAGAGACTGGTCTGGCGCTGGGTTGATAACTCAGAGCTTAAGAGTATTCTAGAGGACTTGAGTTCAAATCCCAACACCTATTGTCAGGTGAATCACAACCACCTATAATTCCAGCTCTAAGGAGAGATCCCACACTTGATGTCTGCGGGTACTTATATTTGCACATATATACACATACAAACAAAATCTTAAAAGGAATAAAACTGAACAGCAGACTGGATAACTTAGCACCTGTCTCAAAATAGGAAATACTTCAGCCAAAAAAAAGGCACTTATCAAGCCAAGGAAACTTGAGTCACACTTGGAGAAGACCAATTTGTCCTCTGACCTCTATATGCATGACATGGCACACATTGACAGACACGTGTGCGCACGCGCGCGCGCACACACACAAAATTAATGAATGGAAGAGAACAGGATTTTTTCCCTCCAAATTAAGGAGGAAAGGAGAGACAAATGGGGAGAGAGAAAGTAAGGGGGGCTGAGGATAAAACTGAAGTAGTGAGTGCTGTAATTAAAAAAAAATCATGTCCTGAGGCTGGGCAGTGGTGGTGCATGCCCTTAATCCCAGCACTTGGGAGGCAGAGGAATGTGGATCTCTGTGAGTTTGAGACCAGCCTGGTCTACAGAGTGAGTGGCAGGACAGGCTCCAAAGCTGCATAGAGAAGCACTGTCTGGAATAAAGAAAA